TTTTTATTTTGGCTTGGGGTGATTTAGAGATTGCCTCTGTTATGCCTTGCCTCTGACTTCTCAAGCCTTGCCTTTGACTTCCCAAGCCTTGGCCTAGTTGGACGCCTTGGGAGAAGCGCATGTGCCAAGCCTCGAGCGACCCGAAACCAAATCAATGTTGACATTGGATGATGCCTTCCATCAATGCAGAAGTATGCAGAATTTTAGGAACATGGTCGCTGACCTTTAGGCGTAAGGTGGCGTAATTAGCTTGCTCGAATGAAACAAGCGGGATTTCTTCGAGCTCGACTCCCACGACTAGCTTTCCGTTATTTATACTAGTGCTTAGAAGAGAAAAAAGTTCAGCACATAGATTGGCGACGCCGTTCTTGGTTGGGAATTTGAGGCACTAATGGAGTGTAGAGGTCGCCACAAGATTTTCATGCAACCACGACCTTCCTAAAAACATGTTAAATGAGGGTTTTATATTCAAGACATAATACTTAATCACTTGGATGACAGGCCCAATCTTGAGAGTGAGAGGACATATGCCTTCAATTTCTTTTGGTCTCATCATATACAGCGATATTGAGCTGACACTGCTCGAAGTCATTCGAGATCTTGCCTATCTGCTTCACTGTTTTCAAATGGTATATGTTTAAAGAGTACCCTCTGTATCTCATATCCTTGCATGAAAACAGTGATGTGCAATGGTTGAACGTAAAAGCAGTTGAAGCTGGTAGGGATGTTGTCGTCCGTTAAGTCTTTAAATTTTGTGACACTACCAGGTTTGAGGAGTATTCTCATTATCCTTAATCAATTGGAGGGGTAATATTGACCAACAAAACATAAGATGGCACGACTCTTGCCTTCTTGATTATACGGAGCTTTGCCAATATTAGAAACTGACGAAAATGTCCTTCTTTGCACCTTTATATGACGTAAATAGCCCCATTGTTCTCTAAATAGGCAACGATGTTTTAATTTCTTAAAAGGACCATCATACCTTTTTGGAGACCATGTGATTGTGCTGGCAATCGTGTTTATAAGGTCTCGACCTTATAAGCCCCGGGAAAAGTTTATATAAGGTGTCAACTTTATATATAAAAGTGCATTTTAAAAATATATGGGAAATAATTGTTTCGATACTAGAAAACTCTTATAGTTAATCATATAGACCTCGCGATGTATGGATATATAAAAAAGAAAGGGATTTCACGTTTTAAGAATAATTTATATCCTAACACGTGATTTAGACCATCTATTTTCACGATTTTCAAGTCTTTTATAGATATGCTAGATCGACATCATTTTTAAACCCTTGAATTTTTACAATTAGTATAGAAAAATATTTTCAAAACATCGTAAAGATATTTGCAACGAAATTGTATCATCATCATCATCGAAGCTTTTCCCAACAATTTGGGGTTGCATCGAAACAACATCTTCCTATGAAATTTGATTGTTTAAGTTGCACACTTTATATAAACGTCATCCTAAAATTTGAGGGTGAAGTTTACGTTTACACGAGCCGGTAGCCTCGAGACATAAAGTAGGGATGCACCTCCAAACATCGCCATAAGTTGTTCTTTTGGCCTTGGAATTCCCTATAGTAGCTTGAAAATTTATTATTGCTTCTAATTATGAAAATTTAGCCTAACGTTGTAGATTTGGGGGATCTATGAAGACTTAAAAACAGACAATCCAAACAAGTTGTTACAATATGCAACGTAATTAGGGCTTGACGTATTCTTTTTATGGTTTATAATTTTTCTGATTATACTGAAAATTGGATGATTTTAATAATTTTGTAAGATGATTTTATTGTTTAAGCAATGTTTTTTCAAGTGATCGTCCAAGAATTAAATGGTATCGTTCATTGCCAATTTATTGTTTTTTTTAGACATGCACATAGGTTGGTGGCAAGGTTTTCGAGTTTACATCCCAAAAATCGAGGCGCTAAATATTCTCATTGAGAGGCCTGACCCAAAGGATCAAATCTACAATATGTTTTAACAACATTTACCTATGAATAGGTTTGGCAATGGACCCGGACCGACCCGGGACTTGAGGGGTAGACCCTATTCTGGTTTAGGTATGGGTCCAAAACTTGGACCCGGCAGGTCGGGTTCAAAAACACTATTCGGGTATGGGTCCGGTTCTAATAATATTTTATTGGTCTCAATATATGAAATATATTTAAATATAGTTAAATATATAGATATTTTAATTTTTGGGTCGGTTCAGGTAAATTTGGGTTCTATCGGGTTCGGGTCCTATAGCATGTTTCCGGGTTCGGGTCTTGGACGAAAAATACTCCTAGTTAGGACTTTTAGCAAGGGAGTAAGTGTACAGTATGCTCTCACGAGAGCACGTAATCTTTTGGCACCTTTATCTATAGTTCCACAGCTTGTGTGGAGCAATATTTATGGTGGTAACCAATGGATTTAAGGACAGCACTGTTCATTTGAAAAAAAATTGAGGTGAAACCTATTTTGAATATTTGTCACCAAAAAAAAGGAAAAAGTAGGTGTAAATTTCGACCATTTTAAGAGGAAAAAGTAAAAGAATGTTACCACATTGAGCTACACACAAATCTCTTTAAAGAGATTGTTTCCATTTTGAAAACACTCCAAACCTACATCTGAAATTTTTTGAAAACTTGATTTGAAACCGCATTTTCCGCACTAAAGCAACTCCTTGGTAAATCTCTCTCTCTCTCTCTCTAACTCTCAGTCTCTCTCTCTCCTCGGTGAAATGGCCAAGTGCTTTTTACCTTGTTGTTAAAAAATATTATTGTATGTGCAATTCCAATTTTATAATTTTATGGGATGTCTTTGTATATTCCCTCGGGTGAAACTTTGTTTTCGAGTACTGGTAAGAAATCAAATTTTAACAGGATAGCTTCCTCATAGACTTACTTAAAAAAATAATGTGCACGTATGCCGTTGAAAAAATTCCTAATATAGAATATACATTAAAGACGTGGTTTCTATGCAGTCAAGCGCAATGTGGGCCTCTTGATAAATCTATTTTTGAGATGGATTTTTAAACTTAATTTTTAAGAACATGTAATCCCTAATATGGAGATCAAGAATATGAAAAAATAAATAAATTTTAAAAACTAGATATAATAATTTTAGTAATAAAACATTTGGACTGTTAGTTTCTATTGCTTTTAGATGGAACACCTACTTGTATCCATCTTTAAGATGCATGCATTAGACTTTCTGGATCGCATATGTAAAAATGTTGTCTAGCCCGCATAAAACAATTTTTCATACATAAAAAGTGTGCAATGAGACAATTTATCTTTAATACAAAGTGGTCACAATTAATCTTGACCATTTAAATTTGATGGCTACATTTATTATATTGACCAAACTCAAACTTCAAAATAAATTTTTTCGCACTTTGTGACCCAAACAAGCTATCAGATTTTACATATGATAGTTGTAATAATTGTGACCTCCATGTATCAATGGCAAATAGTTATACAATCTCGAATATAAATTATGTAAATTTTGGATAGTTAGTTCTAAATGTTTAGAACTCAAAATATGATGTATACTCATTAAATATACTAAGCTGATGTTCCTAAAGTGATTCCCAAAAGTTTAGATCAATAAAATAATTTGAGTATCCGTTTTATCAAAGAGAATAAGTGCACAATGTGATCCCACGAAGGGGCACGCTACATGCCCTTCATGCTCTATTCTCTTTGTTCGTATAACCATTTCTCAAAGGCAATATGATGGCTAGGTTTGAAGGGGCCTCTAATAAATTATCCTAGAGAAACTAAAAGCCAATGATTATGACTAATAAATTATAATTGAAAACCCTAAAAGCCAATGATTATTATTGAAAAAATCTTGAACTCTATTTGAAAACTCTAAAAACCATTAATTATTATTGAAAAATCTCATATTATCTTTGAAAACTCTACACACCACTAATCTCTATTGGAAATTATTGAACATGTTTCCTTTCATCCAAAATTTTGTAAAATATTGACTGATACGTATTGTTTTCTTTTTAAATATTTATTTCTTCTTTCTTGCTAAGAATGATTTATGAGCTGGCATGCCATCTGTTGTATTAATGTGTGAAATATGTACAAAATAAATATATAAGGGGAGAAATGTTAATAGTTATCTCGAACTATAAAGAGACCATTTATTTTTGATACAAGAAGGTCACAAACATTCTTGTATGTCAGATTCCAAATCAGGGTGGTTGTAAAAGTGTTATTGATTAGACTCAAAGTTCAAAATTTATTTTTTTTGAACTTCTTTACACACCACAAACCATCTAATTTGACATCTAATAACTATAACCTCTTGTAATAAAAATAAATAGTCCCGTAGCATACCATCCCAAAACTGCTTCATATTTCTTTATGCAAGGTATACAAAATGAAACATACATTCCCCTTCTCCATATGTAAAAGCCATTGTTTTAAAACCCTAAAATTTTCTAGGATCGATCCTCTAGTGAGCCGATCAAAATCATCCATTTTAATTCAAATCCGCCAATTTTCTCAGTCCAAGATGTTAAATATAAAAATATAAAGAAAAATTAAAAGAAATTAAATTATGTGAGAATGGCCAATTCTATGGACAGGATCAATAATTATTCTGGCCAAATCATCTTGATCCAGTTCTCTAGCAAACCAAGCAAAGCCCACTAAAGGCGAACCATCCACAACTATGAAAGGATGCACTTTGCTGATCTTCTTTTTCAATTCGAATCGGCCTATTCATATAGTAATTCCCAATCCTGATCAACATTTCCTAAATCACTCGTGGAAACAATGAAAACATAAAAGAGTAGTATCTCTCTTGCGTCCAAAATCCGGATCAAACTCTCTCTCTTCGTTAAATCATACAAGCACATGCAAACCACTCTAATATTTCCTTTTCAAAAGGAAAGTATATTTATGCCATTATATAAAATGTAAAGGGTAGAACCAGAACGACTATATATATATGTACACGGTAATAGAACTGTGCCCAAATGCATTCACACAATACACAGCCCGTAAATGCTCTCTCTACCGCTCCTCTGAAATCGAGTCTCTTTCTCTCTCCTCAATTTTCTCAAGCTCTCGCCTTTTTCGCTGAATTAGGGTTTCCATTTCCCCTGCAACACTGTTTCCGTCACTCCAAACCTGCTATCTTGGGTTTTTTCGGAGTTATTGGCGAATTATGAAGGAATTTTTTAGGGTTTGTGATCCAGGGTTTTATGGTAGTTTGGGACGTGTGCATCAAGGGAAGGAATTGTAGGGTTTGTATAATTAGGGCATTTTGTCCGTCGGGAAGTGTGTCAACCCAGGAAACCCGTGGCTAGGGTTTGTGATTTTGCGCTTGGTGGGGTGCTGTAAAAGTTGTTCGAGGACGAAATCTGAGGTTTTTGGGGTTTATGTTTTCTATACAGAATCTAAAAAGAAGAGATTGTGTCGTGCTATAGATCAATGATCGGAGAAGAGGACCCATGGCTGATGGTTCTGGTTCAGGGTTCTATGGTTGTATGTAACAGCAAATAAAGTGGGAGGCTCCATCGTTGTGGCTTCTAATTCAGGTTGAAGCTTTGGCGTTGGTATAGTATCATAATATCTAGGGTTTGTATTTTCTGGACTTTTTGTTTTTAAAGGTTTTCCAATCTTGTAAGAAAATGAGTGACGACAGAGAAGAAAGGGGGGGTGAGGGACTTGTTTCAGTGGGAATCAACAATAAAGGCTTTCGATCACCATTGATTGATGGTGGCAGAGGAAATGCAGTTACCAGAGGTGGGATAAGACCTGGTTTCTCTATGCAAAGGTGTGGAAGATTGAATGATCTGTTATATGTTAGGCCTGATTCAGATGAATCAGGAGAAGTTAGGACAAGTATAGGGCAAGCAAGCTCTGATCATGGCGTTAATTTTAATGGAGCGGGGCCATCGAGATCTGGTGAAAGTCCTTGGGTATACCGGATGAAATCTCAGGACGATTTTGTGGAAGTTCCCAATGATTTTTTTGCCACTGTTAGTGATTCTTTTGTGGGGGATGAACTGTTGTTGGAGGCAGGTAGAGGGAGCTCTGAGGATGTATGGAATCATAAACGGGCAAGAGTTTTAAGTTGTACGCAGTGAGTATACACTCTCTTCTTGCTGTTTTTATGTTTATCTCTTATTCTTTATTTTTGTTTGGGGAGTTAGGTACATGCTATTTTTGTTTTATGAACCTGGTGAAGAGAAGGAGGGTTTCTTGCACATTGTTCTTAATTGATGAAGTATACATATTGTCATAAATGCTGTAATGTACCAGTTGGTTTATTCAATTTAATTGTTGTCTTTTAGTTGCTAATATAATGTACACTGCCTTGCTTGCTTATTCGACCTTAATATGGTGCATTTCATTTCAATCTGTGTGAAATTTGATATTCTTCAACTAAATTTATTGGGAAATGGCATATTTCATTTCAATCCATTATAGTGCATTTTGTTGTTTCATTTGTTTAACCCGGGGTATGAATTATTTTGTCATGTTTCATTTATTTAAGTTCTACTGCAGTAGGTAATCAGGATTTCTCATTTGCTATATTCGGGCACATATTGCAAGACTTGAACATACGAACTACAATTAATCACAATAATCACCATATACAGTACACCAGTGGTCATTGGGAAGGGTAGAATTTTAAAGGGCTATATCCTTTATTGATAATCATCCAGTATTTAGCCGATAAATTGTTGAAATATGAATAATTTATTTTATTTTATTTTTTATTCATAATTTGTTAAACAATGTTCTCATTAATTTTGTTGAAATTTAAATGCACAGCAGACCAAAAATGAGGTGATAGAATGTGTGACTCATGCTTAGAATGTCACAAATTCAAATATTAATGAGGGCATTTTGATGGTAAAGTGGCGGGGTACTTTGTATTCTGCATGTGATTTTTATAATAATTCCAGAGATGTCCTAACATTGCCTTTACATGTCTAACCTGTGTTTGGGTGTGTCTAGTGATATCGCCATGTCGACATGTCTTGTATCAGCGTTTAAAAACACAGAACTGGATTTTTTTTTTTTGGGGTGGGGGTGGGGGTGGGGGGGGCAGTGTCCCAAGTTTGCTTGGTGAGACTCGAGTCTAATCGTTCATGACTTATTCATGAACTCATGACTTAGACCAGAATCACTATTTTTTGAAAGATCTAGACATACTCAGTCTGACACGTGTCCATGCTTGGGTTAGGTGGGGTCCATCCTAGTCGTGCTTGTTGAGTTTTTAAACACTGGACATGCGAACAAGGGCCCCATTGGTGTGTTTGGTAACATCCTCATCATCATAACATTTTACGATACTAACCATAGTGAGGTGCGTCTTGATATGCCTAACAGATTAATGAGTTAGTAACCACATGAGATACACTTTAAAAAAAAAATGAAAAACCTTCCACATGAGATTCTAAGAAAATTGGTTTTAGGATACCTTGTTCTGGCCAAGAGATCCTTTTCTCCCACCACTATGAAGACACATATGTCAAAGGAAGCCCATGGAATTTACAAAGATGCAACTGGGGCCCATGGAAACCACAAAGATTCAACTATCTTCATCCTAGATCAATGACTCTTGCCTTTATCTGTCGTCTGAAAATTGGATTCCATTATCCTCGTCGACGTGGAATTTTATGCGGCTTTCTTTGATGTCTCATATGGAAATGCTATGTAGAGGCTGTTGGCTTTGCTAGCAATGTTCAAGAAGGCGGAGGTGGCCAGGGGCGTAGACCGCCTAGATACCTGGGGCAGCCTTGGTTTGAGAAACAGTAAATAAAAAAAAAATTGAGGAGGTGGCCCCAAGTGGGCGCCCAGACTTAAACAAGTCCGCTTGGACCCCCACGCCTTGGTTTGAGAAACAGGCCACCTAGGCAGTCTGGCAGCCGAATTTTTGTACATCGCTGGCAAATCTAATCCTCAAACTCAATGCTTTGAAATTCTCTTCTGAGTGGTCATGAGATGATATGATTTTATTGATTCCCTTGAATATCTGATTGTGTCACTCTCTTGGTCTCGCCAATTCCCCAAGAGTATATGTAGATCGAAAGGCCTTGATTCCTAAGAGATGCACAATCTTTGGGACAATTAAATCCTATGAGTTTGAACCAAGATATGAATTTTGATTATGAGTTCTAAAGATATCTAGATGGAAGGACCTTTATTCCCATGGATTTCTAGGTTTTTCATCTCATCCTCACGTTACATTTTGACACATTCTTGTGTGTTTGGAATTATAGGCTTGGACACCGTACTGCAAGTTTCCATATTAGTAAGCGCATAGCCCTCTAGAGACTTGAGATGAGCTATTATTCGTGCCATTATGGTCATAGACTTATTGGTGCATGACTCTTTCGTCAAGTGAGTTACTCAAAAAGCATGAAACATATTGTGGTTAAAATCATTGTAGGAAACATTGGGCGTTCTAATCGGGTGCTGCCCGGTTAGATCGGAACATGCCATTGACCGGTTCTTGTTTCCGCTGGTTTTGGTGATCGGTCGAGTATTTTAAACTTTCTTTTTAAAAAATTATATAAAACCCCAAAAAATAAGGGATTTTGTTTGTAATGCATTTTTTAATGTTTTCATCATTATGGCAAAGATTGGAAATTGTTTTGGCCATTAATACTTATTTTTACATTTTCCCATCTTTTTTGGAAAAATTCAAAAATACCCTTGGGCACAAATTGATTTTTTCCCTTAATTTTCAACTTCATTTGGATGTGCTTTGTTTAATCATTCTTTAAATACATTTTTTCTATTTTATTAGATTTTTTTTGTTTTTGTTTTTGTTTTTTTGTTTTTTTTTTAAACTAACACTTTTTTGATTGCCCGGTTAGAATAGTTGAACTGGCTAGTTTACCGCTTAGGCCTGTTGAACTGCTTCCGGGCCCATGTTCGGTTAACAGTTTTGTTCGATTTTTCCTACACTGGTTAAAATGATGGCATCGACTAATATCTAATGCCTTGTTATAAGAGAGAAACTTAGAATTCCTCAAACATTTGATATTTTTTAGATCTATCAGGCCTTTGGCAACAACATTCATAAGCAAAAGAATGCTCTCCGATGAATGGGAGATGCCCCAACTTAAACTATGACTTGTAGGCAACTTTATTGACCACCTTCCAACATTAAAAGGTGGGTGATAAAGCACCATTGTTGTGTTCATTGTTTTATGGAAAACTGGAACTGGATGCCTCAATGTATGGTATATATCCTGGTGTGTTCTTTGCGGTGTTAAAAAATGCGGGTTCGGCTACCTAGTCGTTTTGGGTACCTGGCCGCTTAGGCGCATGCCCAAAGACAAGGTGCCCTCACCAAAATTGGAACCCCCCCCCGTTGCCCTCAAAAAACAAAACAGGGGAATTCTTAGGGCATGGTTTCAGGCCTTAGGGGGTTCTTAGGGCAATTTTAGAGCCCCAAACTCTTCGTGAAATAGATGAAAACGTAATAGTACAATCACATAACAGATTTACGAATACAAGTCTTGAAGAGATTATGAGATTGTAACTTGTAAGACATTAAAATGCTTGAAATCCCAAATGTCAATGAATAATAATTGATCGAGTATCAATCAAGAGATTATGAGATTGTAACTTGTAAGACATTAAAATGCTTGAAATCCCAAATGTCAATGAATAATAATTGATCAAGTATCAATCAATGTGAATAAAAAATCAATCATCTAATCAACAAACCTGTAAAATACATAAGATTAAAGAATTAAGTCATTTATTATTACTTTGCAAATTACAATAAGACTTAAATGAGTATATAAGATCTTGGTTTCACTTTCACATAAGACTTAACTCATTAAGATATCACATAGTCAATTATTTATCAAATAAAGCAAAACAAAAATAATAGAATATCAAAACATGACACATTGTACAAAAAAGAATAAACTATTCATAAAAGAATACGATATATGCTCAATTTCATCGTCCAAGTGAGGAAAAATTCAATTAATCGCAAAAAAATCAATCTTTGAACTATAATTATGTAAATATATTGTAAAAGAAAAATATTAAAGAAAAAACATGTGATTCGCAACATACTACTCTTTCAAATTTGATAGTGCTTTAAAAATAGCAAATTCAAATCGATGTCGGTGCAAACCGTGTCTATTGGGTCGCCAAAAGTCTTCAAAATCAACTACTAGAAGCTCCAAATCTACCCACAAACTATTGCCTATGTTATGGGAAGAAATAAAAAAATTCAGAAAGTTATCAATCTTTCGATAAATCTCAAAAGAGTGGTTTTTGAGGAGTTTTTCTCACCCTAAAAGCTACGGTTTTGGTTTTGGTTTTGGGGGTTTAGTAATCCCCCGAAAACCTTTTTTTCCCCCTTATTAGGGGGGGGAAATGACTTTTCTTTAACCCTCAACAAGACCCATTTTCCACGTTTTCTCAACTTGTGTGCCTAGGTGGGTATCTTGCCTGTCTAGGCGGGCCCAGACGCAAGACGCATAATGACCCCGCCTAGCAAGCGCTAGTCATTGTTTATAAAATTTCTGCTTAGGCGGTCGGGAGGGCGAATTTTTTAGCACTGGACTTCTTTGAAACACTATAGATGCCTTCTCAAAAAGGCTAGTGTTCAAAATCTTACACAACACTTGAATTGTTTTTGTGTGGTTATAGTCCCTTTATCTACCATATTCGTTAGCAAGTCAATGGACCTTCTCCATCTTTTCTTGTTCTTTTTTTTTTTGTACCCCTTGTATCTAACCTTCCTTATTTCATTTTGAAAGACTTTGGAGGGAAAGCAGGTTTGTTTTACAATATTGGGTGATTGTGTGAGCTTAGAACACTTCGATTAGTCGGCTTTGGAAGCTTACAAATCTAATGTAGTCATTCATTGAAAGTCTTAAAAGATGAAATTAAGCCTTTGCTCAAGATTAGGTGGTTGTGCAATATTAGAGCACTTCACTTGGTTGATTTCGAAGGCTTTCCTTTTAAGCAATTTGTAGAGTTTCCAAGTAGATGCAAGTAAATGGATTATGTATTAATGTAACAAGATTATTGCAAGACAATTGACATGACATAATGGTGCTATGATCACTCACCATTCATTATTGAAAGGTTGGTAAT